ATTACTTTAACCAAAAAGCAAATGTATATTGTATTATGCTTATATAATTAACTGTTCTTAATTTCATTTTTGGTAGCAAATGTAAGCATCTAAAAGTTAGAGTAAAAGAATATCAAAGAAATCAATCATCTGATACTGTATTCTCTTTTTGGCATGTTTATTTTGCAAGAAATAAAAGGAAATCAAGTGAGGATAATTTGAGGGTGGGGAGAGTTAGGAAATGATCATGAGAAAAACTTTTTATTTTTTAAATCTTAACAGAAATTCTACATTTTGTTGACTGGGATTCCAGTAGCAATCGGCATAACTCTGGTGAATGTATTTATTGGTAAGTTCACCTTCCCCTAGCACCGCCAAATTGGTAAATTTTAAAAACACATTAATTTTTTAAAGGAAGTTATGAATATTATAATGAAAGACTCTTTAAATAGTAAAATAAACATAGGCGTGCCAATTTATTTTAAAATAACCAACTCTTAATCTACAATGATACACCATGTTATTTTTTAACATTTCTCTTTTTCCCTCCAAAAGCCTTTAAGGTAAGGAATTCTATAGAGGCCATGTAGGAAGCTTCTGAAAGACTTCTCTTCCCTCTGCTTGTTCCCCAAACCAGTTTTGACAAATCTGAATAAAGTAGAAGGAGACAGGTAGAAGAGAAGCTGAGAGACTGAAGAAATTTTAAATTCATCCTGGAATATATAACCTTATAATCCTCTCAAAAACAATGAAGGTGTGAATGACATTGGATTTTCATGGGAAATTCTGTTCAGAGTACTCCTAACACCTTGAATCCTAAAATATTTTGTCTAATTGGTAGAGGAAAGATCAGAAGGAATAATATATCTTTCATTGTGTCTTGTAATATTATAAATAAGCAGGTTGGGTGTGATGGTGCATGTAATCCTAGCACTGGGTAGGTTGAGGCCAGAGAATTATGAGTTCAAGACCAGTCTGAACTATGTAGTAAGAGCCTGTCTCAAAAATGTTTTAAAAAGTGGGGCAGGTAAGGGGGGTGGCTTATAAATACTGCTTTATACCAAGAAGATAGCTAAAAAGTACCCAGTGGATGGATTTATTTTCAACCACATTAAAGTAAATTTAGAAAATTAGATTTTCATTGGTACAAATAAAAGAAGAAAAGATTTTTAAAGCTACCGGAAGTTATTTTATTTATTGGTGAAGGATTAGTATTATTGGGCTCAGCATGATGGTTGATGCCTATAACCCCAGCTACTTGGAAGGGAGAGATAGGAGGGTTGTGGTCCAAGGCTAGCCCTGGGCAAAAGTGCAAAACACTATCTGAAAAATAAACCAAAACAAAAAGGGCTGGGGACATGGCTCAGTGCTAGCCTGTGAGCCCCTGAGTTCAATCCCCAGTACTGCCAAAAGAAAAAAAAAACAAAAGAGTATTATAAACTCCTAATGCCTAAGTTGAACTCATGATTTTCTCTTATTAGGCGAAGCTGAGTTGGCAGAAATTCCAGAAGGCTATATTCCAGAACATTGGGAATATTACAAGGTTTGTATTGATCATTGCAAATTACTTTCTGTTAGTTATCTTGTCAATGTGCTAGTTAATGTCTTAATTAGGCAATTATGATTCAGTTTTATATTCAATTTTTGATATCAAGTGTATGGTACATTTTTACTTTTTACATGCAACTACTTTTGGTACTTCATTGTTTTTTCTTGTATTAAGCTTTACAGTATTTTTAAAGAATGACTCTGAAAATATGTTATCAACCTAGCAGCCTAACAAAATTTTTCCTAAGTTCACTGCCATAGGAAAGATGTTACCAGCACTAATGCTAGCTGTCACCTACTGTGTATCTGGTACCATACTAAATGTTTTGCAAATATTATCTCATCTTATATTCAAAGTACTGTTATTATTCTCACTTTAGAGGTAGGGAAACTCATACTCAAGTGATCTGTCCAAGAGAGAGGTCCAGTATGAATTTAAACTCAGTCAGTTCAACTCCAGAGCCTGCACTGATAGTCACTATACCATACTGTCACTGCCACCCAAACACAAAATTAATTTGTTCATTGTCTTCACAAGTATTATAGTGAGATGGCCTTGAATAGAATATGCTTATTGAATTTTATTATCTGAAAGAGTCATATTTTAGAAAAGAAATGCATTATTATTATTATTATTACTATTATTATTATACCAGCACTCAGAGCTTCACAGCTAGGCAGAAGCTCTGCTGCTTTAGCCATGCCTCTAGCCTGCTTCATTATTAAATTTTAAGGAAAACTGGCCAGGTGCAGTGGCTCATGTCTGTAATCTCAGCTACTCTGGAGGCCAAGATTGGGAGGATCTCCTTTCTAGGCCAGGCAAAAAGTTGAGACATAAGTAGGAGGATTAAGGTCTAAGCATCCCAGGCAAAAAATGCAGGACCTTATCTGAAAAATAACTAACACAAAAAGGGCTGAGGATGTGACTTAAGTGGTAGAGCAAGTGTGAGGCTATGACTTCAAACCTTAGTAATTCCCCACTGTACCCCCTCCCCCCAAAAAGTCAAAAGTTAAGCTAAACCATAAAAAAATTGTTTATTTATTTATTTTGCTAACTGGTGGAAAGAGCTTCATGTTTAGATCAACAAAACCTGTGCTTGTCTCCTGCCTCTGCCACTTAGGATACCTCAGTGTAGAGGAATGGGAAAGAGTACAGGCTTTGGAGTCAGACATACCTACTGGTTTAGTCCAGATGCTGCCACTTAGCTGCATAATTTGTGTGATTTGCTCATCTCTAAAATGGGCAGCAAAAATAGTATCTATCTAATGTATTAAAATGATTTAAAATGTATGTAAAATAGTTGGCATATAGTAAATGTTACTGGTTTATCTAACTGAAATGGTCTTTTTATTTATTTATTTTTTTGGTGGTACTGGTGAAATGGTCATTTTAAATAATAGTAAACTATAAAACCAAAGTATTTGCTTAGAAACTGACTACTTCTAAAGAAATTTTCTCCTGCAGCATCCTATCTCAAGATGGATTGCCCGTAATTTCTTTGATAGTCCTGAAAAGAATTATGAAAGAACAATGGCTATCCTTCAGATTGAAGCTGAAAAGACTGACTTACGGTAAGAAAGGCGTGGGGAAGAAAATCATTTCCTTGGGTTGCAAACCATAGGGAAAATAAATTAATAAAAATTGCAGCACTGTGTATGATCTTTGTAAAAGGATGTAGATAGAAGAGAGAAAGCCTCGTTAGAGTGAGGACTGTGAGTTGGTGACTACTCACAGTCCTCACAGGAATTTGTTTTTAAATCTGTTTTTTTATGTGTGTGTGTATAAGGAAATCCTGTCCTCACCCTACCCAGTTTCTTTCCATCCAAATCTAGTCAAACTCTTAAAAATGACTCCTGTTTAACAATTTGTTCCATATGTTCCTAGAGAAAATTTTATGAGTTAAAATACATATTTTACAATATAATTAAAAGTTATATTGATACAGATAGAATCTTTATGAACACTATTTTGCACCTTCTTTATTTTATGTAGCTTGGTGCTTTTTCTGTAATAGCATATACCTACCTCATTTGTTATAATGACAGCATTATATATTTCATTGGATGGATTAGTTTTCTAACCAGTTCCCTATGTTCTTTCCAAATTTATGTATTTGTGTATATATATATATGTAGGAAGCAAATTCCTAACATGGCACCAATTAACCAAATAGTGTATGTCTTTTAAGTGTTGAATAAATACTGCCAGGTTCTTTCCCAGACAGTAATACCAGTTACTTTTTCCATCCCCAGTATACGATAATTTCTGTTTCTCAGTAATGGAATTTATCAAACAAATATTTTTGCTGATAATTAGCCTGTTTTGGTTTTGTTGCAGATGGGTTTTCATGGTTTGTCACTTGCATTTTGGCAATGAAGAATTTTTCGCACTATGAATTTTTTTGTTTGTTTCAAATAACAAATACGTAATAGCAGCTAATACCTCTTTTTTTTTTTTTCTTTCGTGATACTGAGGATTGAACCCAGGGCTTTATGCATGCCTTTAACAACTTGAGCTATAACTCCAGCTCTAATGCACTTTTGAGCTCTTTTACTATATACCAGTGTTTTAGTTACTTCATATGTATTTGCTCATTTAATTGTCAGGTTTGTTAGTCTTTTTCTTAAGCTTCTGGGATTTTGTGTCATGCAGAGAACCCTAATAGTAATTAAATAGGTAAATATATTATTCTAACATTATTTTTTAGAAGTTCTTGTGTGGGCTAGAGACATAGCTCAGTGGTAGAACATGTGCTTAGAATGTGTAAGGCCTTTCATTCAATCCCCAGCACTAGGAACATATATAAGAAATAATCAATCTGAATATATTTTAGTGTTAGAAATGACATATAATTGAAAAGCAAATAGATGCACCCATTAAGGTCACTGGGCATTTGACAAAGTGTATACCTATGTGACCACCACTACCACAGTGAAGGTCATTTCAATCACCCTAAAATATTCTTGTGTACATCTGTCCAACCATTCCAATAAATCTCCACCCTTTATTCTTGGCCCCAGGCTACCGCTGATCAATTTTCTATTCTGTTTTAAACTCTGTGGTTTATAAAAAAAGTGCTGTGATACTGGAAGATAATTAAATGTTGAAAAAAGCATATAATTAGCTGTGTTTCCTAGGTGTGCACTTATGAGCATAGAACAGCTGTGGCTCATACTTGGTAATATAAGACTTTTCTGAACTTCATACACATAACTTTGAGTTCCAATTACATGAGACCCTAGAATTCCTCAGATAAACAGAGATCCTAAACAGTCATAAAACAAAAGAAAAAAAAAACAGACCTACCCAACCCCTGACTTCTACCCCTAAAGGAAAGATGCCATGGAATGGGCAGGGGGGCGGGGTATCTGCTGTTTTAGAAAGCTTGCATTTATATATTTGGAAAACTGAAATATGAATAAATAAGAGTCTCTCCCATAGTTGACCCTCCCAGATTTACCTATTATTTTTAGTCTTTCATGTTTTTAATATTCTTGTCTTTGTGTATTTATGCATACTCATAAATGGCAATTTATTGTTTTTTAATGAAATGGGAAGGTGCTATACATACTTTACATCTTGTTGTTTTTGTTTTTCTTTTTTTCCCCAGTGTTGGGGATGAAACCGAGGGCCTGCATGTGCTAGCAAGCTCTCTACCACTGAGCTACACCCCTAGCCCTTATACCTTACTTTTTTTAACCTAATAGTATGTCCGTCACCTTCCACATTACTACCTACAGATTCTCCCTAATTCTTTGTAATAGTTACGTAGTCATCCATTATATAGGTGAGCCATAATTTAGCTAGTTAGTAATTTGTTTAGTATTTTAATTACATTTTGAATAACTGCATTCAAAAGTGTAGAAAAAGAGGATGGTATTTAATCTGTAAAAAGGTGAATAAATATACTCTCTTCAGTACATAGTTACAAAGGTATATAATCTCTCACAGATAAGGTTAATGAGCTGTTTAATGGTAATAAAGTGAATTATTTAGTTGTGACTAATTTCCAGTCAGATGAAACAGTAAATATGTGTTGTATAAAAATGGAAGACTAGAAATTTAATGGGAAAGTGACTGTTTCAAGAATGTATGGTAGCTTGTGCAAATTTTGGGTGTGGAAGAGGGAAAGCAGATTATTCAGTTTGTGAAAGAAGGATGAGGACAGCTGAGTAGATCTTAGAGTTGGAGAATGTTCTTAGTTTTTCTTTCTTTTTTCTTTACAAATACTGTCTAATGACCAGGCATAGTATGATACTGGTGAATAAGATACAATTTCCCTGTGAGATGTTTTCTGTGCTAATGATGACAGGCACTAGTATAGACAAAGGATATGAGCTCCTCCAAAAACTTACATTTTCCTACAAGTTGGCATAGCATGTGGATAATAGTAGGCATTCTGTAAATGACTCTTCTAGCATCTGAAAGATGGAAGTGCTGGAATCACAATGGAACTGTGATTGTAACTGGAAATGCTGGAATCACAGTGTTGTTACTCCATTTGTTACAGGTTAAAGGAGCTGGAAGTTCGAAGACTAATGCGTGCTAGGGGCGATGGACCATGGTATCAATATCCAACCATTGATAAGGAGCTTATTGATCATTCTCCAAAAGCAACTCCTGACAACTGATCATTCATTTCTCCAAATACAAAGCCTATTCTCTCAAGTGGAAAATAAATTAATTCATAGCAGTCTGTATTTTTGCTCTTGGGTGAATAAAAGAGCTTCTCCCATTGTTCTTTTTCTCAGTGTTGGTTCAGATGAAAGTTTTTGATTTGGGGGTTTCAACTTCATTTTTAGAACATTTAAAATGTAGTAATAAAAACTAAAGCTGGGTGTGATGGCTCACATCTGTAATCCAGCTACTCTGGAGGAAGAGATAGGAGGATGGTGGTCCAAACCTGGTGAGGCAAAATCATGAGACCCTATCTGAAAACAAACTACAAAAGCAAAGGACAAGGGCATGGCTCAAGGGGCAGAGTTTTCCCTAGCAATAATGAGGCCCTGAGTTCAATCCACAGTACAAAAAACAAAAAATCTGGAGAAATAATAGGAATCTATGAATAACTACAGTTGTGGTATCTTTGGCAAGTTAATGTTTTGTTTATCTGGCAAATGCACATTACAGAAGAGAAGTCTAACTATGCTGAGTGTCAGGAGTAGGGTCATTTGTACACATCTGGATTATTCAGGGGACTTTAAGTTGTACAAGAAATGTTGAACCAAAAGTGTTAGCACCTTAATAAATTTTCAGTGACTAATAATAAAGTTTATAATCTTTTCATGGTTTTAAAAGCTGTATATCATTCTTTTCAAACCTATATACATGAATTTTTTCTACTTTAATAGCATAAATTAATTGTAAAAGTATCATTGTGATACTAACATGCATGCATATAATGCTCTTCTATGAAATCCACTGCATTTATATTTTTCTTTCCTTCCCACTTTTAACATCTTTAATGGGTTTAATTTTTCTATTTTCATATGTGTATATAATGTACTTTGATCATTGTCACCCCCTATCACTGTCTCCTTTCCCCGTCCCCCTTCCCGGTGGCTCCCCAAGAGTACGCTTTAACAATCATGTCATGTTATTGTCTGATCTAGAATTCCACATATGAACAAAAGCGTGCAATATTGTCTTTCTGAGCTTAGTTTGTCTCATTCAACATGATAACCTCCCTTTCCATCCGTCATCATACAAACAACATAATTCTTTTTGCTGAATAGCTTAGCTATTGTGAATAGTGCATGTTGTTATGTGCTGGTGTCGAGGGTTCTTGCTTTCACAGGCCAGAGAACTGGCTCATGAGGCAGCTGAATGATGAGCCAAAGCCGGTATATAAAGTGGGATTTATTAGAGAGAAAAGAAAGGCTACAGCTAAGGTGCTATGGCGGAGTCCAGAAGCCGGTGGCTTGCTGCACAGGTGACGGCTGGAGTTTTTATGGGCATTCTAACTCTGGGTTAAGTGGGTTTTTCTCATTGGCCATGGATTCGCGGCTTTTCAGGTGAACTGGTTTGGTTTGCACCTTTACTGGTGGAGGGGAAACAATCTTGAGAGCATTTTGCTCATCAGCCCTGTGGCCCATCTGTATCTCTCCTTTAGGATGCAGGAATGCAGGCCTCCATCTCCTCAGAATGTAGGAAAGATATTGCCCTCTGGGGGATGGGATACCCACTCATCTGCCTTAGGTCTCCAGACCCAACAATGTGAATCTGTATGCTGACTTATTCTTTAGATATATGCCCAGGTGTGGTTAGCAGGTTTATATGGTAGTTCTATTTATAGTTTTTGAGGATTCTCCATACTGATTTCCATAGAGCCTGCACTAATTTACATTCCCACAACAGTGTATAAGGGTTCCTCATCCTCCACCCCCACCTTCACCAGCATTTGTTTGTTTTCTTGACGATTGCCATTCTAACTGGGGCAAGTTGGAATCTCAGTGTTATTTTGATTGGCATTTTCTATATGTCTAAGGATATTCAGCATTTCTTCATGTATTTATTTGCCATTTGTACTAGTTTGGGGAACTATCTGTTCAATTCATTTGCCCACTTTTTTAATTGAATTATTTGATCTTTTAGTGTTTAAATTCTGTATTTTGGACATTGATCCTTTGATGAATACCTTGCAAAGATTTTTCTCACATACTGGTATTGCCTCTTTTTTCTGTTAATTATTTCCTTTGATTTGCAGAAGCATTTGACACCATCCAATTTGTCAGTTCTTGCTCTTATTTCCCAAGCAATTGGAGTCCTGTTCAGCAAGTCATTACCTATGCCTATATCTACAAGTTTTTTCCCTATATTTTCCTGTAGTAGTTTCAAAGATTCAGGTCTCACATTAAGCTCTTTGATCCATGTTGAATTGATAGGTGTACAGGATGTGAGAAAAGGACCTAGTTTCAGTTTTCAACCTGTGGTTATCCACTTTTCCCTATACAGATGGCTATAACTATGTGGGTTTTTTCCATTACTTTACATGTCTGTTTTTGGGCCACTGTTTTGTGTAGTGGCACAAAAACATGCTGTTTTTGTTATTTTGACTTTGTGGTATAACTTGAAGTCTTGTATTCTGATACCCCCGTTAGGTCCCTGGCATTCTTGGGGTGGGTGGAAGGACCTGAGGCTAACACCTTAAAACCAGACCCCCTGATTTATGACAGCTTATTTCTCCCTGCATGTTTCTCAGCTTGCAAAACAACTCAGGAACTTCCAGTTACTCAACTAGCCAGGCATGTTGACCTGTTCCATCTGGTGATTGCAGATAATCAGAGACCAAAGACTCTCTCCCTCCCGCATGGCTTGGCCCCTCCTATAAAGCCCACTACCCATTTTCAGCCAAGCCACCTCACTCTGAACCCGAAAAGAGTGATGGCCCTGTGGTCTGGTTCCAATAAACCTTTCCTTTCCACATGTGGTGTGGTCTTTGTTGGCAATAATGGCGCTATAGGTTTCAGTTCTTACTGCACCCTTAAGCTTCTGTTTTCCAGGGTCACGGTCCTGCCTCAAGTGTAGCTTGAATCCTCCTTCTGCCCCAACTTCCAATCATCATGAACCATAAGATCCTAACCAATCAGATCATGCCAAGTCTCACTGAGGGGTATTTAAGCCTCTGCCCCTCTCTCCCTTTCTCTTGGCTCTCTCTGCTCTCTCCTTCTCCCACCCGGCAATAAAGAATCTCTTGGCCAGATCACTCCTCTCCACATGGTCACTTTTGGGGCCTACATTTCCTTACATTTGGTGCTGTGACTCCGATGGAGGCTCCCCACTAATCCTGGTGGGACCCCCATTCCAACTCACCCCATGACCACCCTGAGGATGTGACTGGCCAGGACTCATCCTCCCGATCGCCCTTGCTCCCATCCAACACCGGACATTCTTTGGTGAGTCCACCTACCCTTCTTGGGCTCCCTTTGTGGTCTCTCCCTTCAGTGTCTCTCGGTTTTAGAACACTTCCCCTGCTTTGGGCTATCTCTGGGCAGCTCAGACGGTAGAGGGATCCCCTTCTCCGCAGGGTTTGGATTTTACAGGGTCCAGGACCCTACAAAACCTAGGCCTAGGTAATCCAAGCCTCCGGCCTCTGGCCTGCAAACCACCTGAACTCAGTGACGGCTGATTCTCGTGCACTTTGTGTTTTCTCGGATATTTGTGCTGTGTGAGGATGCTCCGCAGTACATAATATCCTCCTCTCCCATTCCAGGACTGGGTCCCTCATAATGGGTGCCTCTACATCTTTGCCGTCTGACTCCACCATTGAGATGCCTCCTCAATAATTTAGACACCTTGAGTTTGACCCCAGGTATAAAACCAAAAATTTGATCCACTTTTGCACTCAAATCTGGCCCACTTATCCTTTAGACAACCAAAGTCACTGGCCCCTTTTTGGGTCTTTAAATCCCAACCTTTTATGGGACATATAACTACTGTGAGTGATCGGGACAATGGGGAGAGATTCCATTATGTCCAAGCTTTTTATACCTCCATTAAATCCGGCTCTCTGACTTCAAATCCTCCCTCTGTACTTTCTGTTCCCCTGCACAGATTCTATCAGCCTGTAAACCAGTTTCTAAATCAGCCAGTTCCTCTCCAAACCTCCTCCTTCCCCATGTAAACAGACTTCTTGCACTGCTTACCATACCTATCTCCTCCCACGTGTCCCTTATCTCTGTCTGCCTTCCCTTCCCTGGGCTTACTGGGACCCTGCCTCCCATGAAAAAGTTGTAGCATGGTACCTTATGACTAAAGTTATTCCAACTAGTTTGCCAGGCCTCTCAGTCTAAAGTAACTTTAAATCAGCTGCTTTACAAAAGTGCTTGCAAAAACCTGCAGCTGCCACGCTTATGCTCTAACTCCTCCCCACAAGGGGAGGAGGGAAAGCAAACAGGCCACCTGTGCACAGGATGCCGGCTTCTGGACACAGCAAAAATGCCTGCCATAGCTAAGAAAACCATAGAGAGGACCCAGTACATCCTGGGCCCCAGCCACACGTGGCATGGCTGTGGCCTGCCACCACTTCCCTAGAATAAACGCACGCAGAGTACACAGGAAGGGGGAGGGGCGACAGGCCTCAGGATCAGGCCTAGGCAGTCAGGGTCATTTGTCCCAGGTGTGTGTGGAGGGAGTGGCGCCTTGCACAAGTCCTGCTCCTAGCCCCACCTCACACCTCAGGGCATCAGACCCTTGTAAGTCAATTGTTAGCTCAAGGTTATAGTTCCAGAAATAACTAAATAGACATTACTGTGGTCTCTAAATTTCTCATTTAGAATTTTCTATACCTTTGGCCTCAGCATAAATATAGAACACTAGTTGTCCATATGGCACTGTTATTGGCCTGAAATGCCCTCTGAATGCCCTTCCTAACTTTACAAATGATTTCTTTGTTAAAAAGGTAGCCTTTATTAAAGAGGCTGTAGCTAAAAGACAGGATCCTAACATTTTGTTCTTTCTAGATGGGACCTGCATCTTCCAGTCTTTGGCTGGTAGATGTTGGAAGCTTTGTACTGAGGTCAGCCTCAGTAGCCTTGGGTGACCAAGAGAAGTGGCCTTCACAGGGTCCTTAAATTACAATAGATCTTTTCTATAAAAGTAAAAAAAAAAGTAAACTGAGGTCCCCTATACAAATTTCTTCATTAGAAAAGCAATGGGTTCTGGCCCAGGCCACTCAGGTTGGAAATGATTATATGGCTCAAGCAGTAGAGTGCGCTTTACAAGCATAAAGTCCTGAGTTCAAGCCCAGTACAGCCAAAGTAAGAAATAATAATAATAATATTTGGGGCTGTGGAAGTAGCTCAATGGGAGAATGTCTGCCCAGCATGTGCAAAGCCCTGGGTTCAATTCCCCAGCATTACTAAAAAAAAAAAAAATGGTAAAGAAGATAA